TATCTTATACCTGAGCTGTCGAAAACCTGCCCTCAGAAACCTTCAAGTAGCTGAAATTTATACCCTCCGATGTATCACCAAAACTGTAAAAACCAACCCAAAACAGATTCTCTGATCTTGCAAGTAAATTTACAAAACGAGAACACAACATCAACGTCGTCAGACATACTGTAAGGAACAAAAGACTGAAGACACAAAATCTACGATAACATCTCATTCTTTTTTTTTTCATGAATTTGTATTTCCTAACCGTAACCCACAGAAGATATTAAAAAACTGTAAAAAATGTTACTGGCTGACGGACCTCGGTCGATGGTCAGTTGGTTTAACCAATAAGGAACAGGTTTCTGCAACAGACATAAAATTAGCTCTTAAATTGAAGTTTCTATTACTGACACAAAAATAGGTATGTTGCTAGGCAACATATTTAGTTTCAAGGAGCTAAAATTGAACTTCAGTTCCTTAGAGCTAATGTTGAACTTTAGCTCCTAGAAACTAAAAAGGAAATACTGGACGTCATCAAAAATAAACAACATTGTTACGGTTGGCTATTTGGGTTGAGACGCATATACCTGATCTGTTTCCGATTTCGGCAGGTTTGGCATTACATACCCATGCTGGAGATACAAATACATCTTATTATAGTTAAGTATTGAAATTATAAACATATCAGTTGAGTATTCTTGTTTTGATCAGGGTAGCCTTCAAGATTCAAATACTTGCTAGATCTGTATTTCATTCATTATTCTCGGGATGGATAACTTGTTTTTGAATAATCACGGCAAGCAATAGTTTTTTGTCTCAAACAACGATATTGTTTAACTTCATTTGATTATCAAGTCAAACACAGTGTAGTATGCCAGTATGGAGAGGAATAAATAATCACTATTATCATTGTTGATATTCTCACTAACCTAACATTTTCCACGTCTTGTTCCTATAGCTGGCAATGGCGCGGTATTTGCCATCAGAGCACCTGGTCCATACACAAATATGTCACTCTGTGATTGTATTTATATTGAAACTACAATTCGAACATCCTTGAATTGAATGAACCTGCTGTTGATGCAGGTAGAATGTTCTCACTACACGGATTATTTGTCAATATTTGTTGCGTTGCATACATATGGCACGGCATTGGTGGTAACTTCACATATTTATTTGAGTTAATTGTTTCAGTTGCAGAAAAATAGCATGTTTCATTCGGATCAAAAGTGACTTTTTTCGACTCGCAAATTTTGCTGTCCCTCGGCTTCGCTGAACGCTCCGCCTCGCAAATGCAAAATTCGCTTGTCAAACAAAGTGTTACTTTTGATCCTACTAAAACAAACTACTATTATTATTATCATTACTGCAGGTTACGTGATTAATAGCATAACCAGTAAATGGACGCGGTGTATGTGTGGTTGCCTATGCTAAAATCGTGCATTAATGAACAAAAGGGTTCATTAGCGATCAATTTCATAATCATCAAACCAACTCGTTGATACGGAGTCGACGGAAAAAGTAATTCATACGCCAGCACTGGATAAGTTTCAAAATGGAACACCAAACCATCCGTTTGTTGTGCATCGTACCGGATCAGAATCCATTCGATTTCACGGATATGCCTTTTCATATCATCAGAAATTCTGAAATTCAAATGAATACTGCGAGGTTTTCCGATGATTGAAGGGATCCATTCAAGGATTTTAATTGGGAAACAAGGGAGGGACCTCGAAAGATTTAGCCGATGTCAGCATTGTCAGCCCTCTTCGGAGATTATGCACAAGAGTTTCTAAAAGTGGATGGGTACCTTATTTGTGCTTAGTACAGTCCAGCGGTTTTTGAGAAGTGACATGTCATTTGAAATTCCGATTCAGCTGATTAATGGCTTTCCATACCTACGTATCTTATACTATAATAGAATAGTTGTTATTCATTATACAAGGGAAAAAAGTAATGAATTTTAGCTCGAGGATGTGCTAATCTAATATTGTTCCAGTGTATAATACACTTTTTTTTCTGTGACAAAATAAACGACGATTCAATATCGAGCAGATATGTGAAATTTGAAGGTTCAAAAATTTCCTGCGTTGCAGGAATCTTCTTGTAGGCATCTTTATTGTTGCTATATGGAAACTTTTTGAAGTAACAGAATATCTGTGAATTTCATTATGAGTTTTGATTTCGAAAAATTTTAGTGGTTGTTTAGTAATTTACGTAACCGCGGTGTGGAATGGAGCATGAGAAGGCTCATTTTTCGGAACTGGTACCACCTGGTACATCAAAAACCATCAACAGTGCACCTATATATCTGGGAAAAAAGCGCTAACAGTTTTTTTCATGGGAAAGAAGTAATTTATGAAAAGTGACATTTTGTAAGTTGTCAACAGAGATGAAATGTCAAACTTTATTAGCCACAGAAAATAGTTATTTGTTTTACTAGACAGAAAAGTAGTAGATTGACTGCCGCGGCTGACAGTTCATAGGAATACATCCAACCAATTTAGTGTAATTTTTTATTGAAAACTCCATCATTTTGTGTTCACCCAATGTCAGTGTCAATTTTGATTTCATATTCCATTAGAATTTCTTGAAACGTTGCATAGCAACAAACTTTTTCTGCGTAGGCAGTAAAAGTACATGTTTTCTGCCGGTTAAGCGGCAGGAAAAACCACTATACCTGCCGCTTGGAGGAAAAATAATTTATTGTAATTATAATATACAGGGTGGTCCGGCAGGTTAGATAAATCTTGTGTAGCCGAACATATGTTCAATCACAATCATAACACACACATTACTAACCTCAAATTATTTAAGCAGGTTGATAACATTAGAAAACTAGACGCATATGAAAGCTTAGAGATATTAAGAATAGTAATAGAGTAAATGAATACGGATAATGGACCTATTCCATATAGCCCTCTCTATATAGTTGAGTGAAATAAAAATTTGAGATTAACATGTGAACTCAATCATGACAAACATTAACTTGTCGGTTAGTATTTTTCACAGTTGGGTGAACATATACCTAGTATATAAGCAGCACACTAGAATAGGATCTTCTCCTGAAGATGCTAACATAGTTAGCGAAACACGACGTGTCAAGGCGTTAAAAAACCGGTTTGCTTAGTGTAAAAAAAGTGTAGTGTCGATTTTTCATTGATTTCTCAAAAAAGCTATAACCGATAGTGATGAAATTCACATGGTTTGTGAAAATATTAATGACTTATGTTTTGGATCTATTACAGTTTATATATGAATAAGTATTTTCAGGTGCCTGTCTACGGGGCAAGTCCATAAGTTATTTGCATAAAATATAGCAGAAAGTAGATTTTTCCAAATGATTGAAACATACAATACAAAATACAATTTTTTTGTCCTACAAGATTTCTTTTTATCAAGCTTCGTCTTCATGGAAAAAAATAATCACCAAACCATTGCATGTCTTTGAAAGTCTGAACCCAATGAAAGAGACATTGTAATGCATTAAATCCAGTTAGCATTGGCCGTTCATCAATCCAATCATATAACCATTGTAAATCAATCAATTACATATTAGAAGAGCCACAACAGGCCATACTCTGAAGTGGATATGTTTCTTTCATTGGGTTTTGACATGCAGTTGTTTGGTTTTTATGTTTTCCTTCTAAAACGTAGCTTGGCAGGAAGAAATCTGAGTGGACAAAAAAGTTGAATTTTGAAATGATTCAATCATGAAAATGACAAACATTTGAAAAAATCTACTTTCTGCTGTTTTTTTTACAAAAAAACTTGTCCCGTAGGCACGCCCCTGAGAATACTTCATTAACAGTTATAGGTCCGAAAGATACCTCATTTATATTTCCACAATCGATATGAATTTCATCAAAATCAGTTATAGCGTTTTTAAGAAATCATTAAAAAAAAATTATTGTTTGAGGAAACTTTCAACACCCTATATCTCGAAAACGAAGCGTTTGAAAGTGTAAATTCAATGTTACTTTTTTATTATTTCAGCTATGTTTAATCTATGATACGCAGTTAATTTTTTTTTATTGAAACACGGAACAGTCGGAACACCCTGTATATAGGGTGTTTCAGAGACATTCCTCTCAACAAATTATGAAAAAAAGTTTACATGAACATTGGTCCGAGAATGCTTCGTTTCCGAGATACAGGGTGTTCAAAATCAAAAGAAACGAGTTTTCTATCAATATCTTGGAAACGTTTTAGCCGATTTGAAAGGAACATGTATGGTTTATCTACACAATGAATTTTAGACATTCACTGGACTAATTAGATTTTCCAAAGTTTTGATGGGCGTACCTACCCCTCGAGGTTTATTGTTAATCTGTGCCCTCGAATCAGTCCTGTTTTTGTAGAAAAAAAGTCACCCGTGTTTTTTTTGTCGGGTTCTTCTCCAATATCCAGATAAACCCACTGAAAAATTTAATATTTTTGTCTCATGCCAAGCAAGACAGATTTCTATAAAAAATACAGATTTCTTCCAAGCATTACAGATTTCAATAAAGTAATACAATTTTCTTTACGATAACCATGAAGATGTTCGCTCCCAAAACACTAAAATTCATGCTCAACAAGTGAATCTCTGGAAATCTCTCGCTTCAGACAACGATCTCTGCGTTCGAAGAAGTAATATGTCCCTGAAACCATAAAAAGACCTTTATAACAGGTTTCTATAGGCAATACAGATTACTCGACGATTAGATCAATGATGACATCTACCTATATTTTGCACTTTTAGTTCCTAATGATCGATTGTCAACGACAACCATGCTGAGAGCACGTGGCGACTCGAAGATTGCATAATAAAATACGCTGAATATTTATAATATTATAATTATTGAGGTGATGAGGTGTCTAAATATGTTTTCTAAAGTCAATGGAAGCTGATCAACATTCAACAGGGAGTCTACCAGAACACTCTGACGGTGAGAGGCCAAACTCATCCTCTCGAATATTCTGGCTTTATCAACACTTTTCCATAAGAACTAAAGATTACTAGATGATATAATCAATGGTGACATCTACCTATATTTTGCACATCTATTTTTCAATGACAATCAACAATAATCGAGAACCACGCTGAGAACACGTGGCGACTCAGATTGGATAATAAGTTCGCTTTGTATTTATAATATAATTCAGTTATCTGAAAATGTTTGCTCCCAGAACACTAAAATTCACGCACTCATCATTCAAACAAGTGAATCTCTCGAAATCTCTGGCCGCTTTCAACAATCACTGCGTTCAGAGCAAAATGTCACTGAAAGACATCCGGGAAATTTTTCTAAAGTCAGTGGAAGCCGTTCAACCTCAGAAACTGATCGAAAAGGAGGTGATAGTCCACCAGAACACTCTAACGGTGAGAGGCCAAACTTATCCTCTCGAAAAACCTTGCTACCTAGTAGGATTCGGTAAAGCAGTGCTGGGCATGTCGGTCGAATTAGAGCGTGCTTTGGGGGACCGCCTACAGAGGGGCATAGTTGCTGTTCCGCAGGGAATATTCGAAAATTATGAGAAGCCAGCAGGATCTAGAGTGGAATATGTGGAAGGAGCTAGGAATAATTTGCCTGATGAGGATGCTATGAGGGCAGCTAACATGATCAAGGATTTGGCTGTTAGTTTGACAGAAGAAGATCTGTTGATTGTGTTGATTTCAGGTGGGTTTGAACTTAGTGATTAGTATCACATAATTTTCTTTTATGTACTCGTCTTCCACCTGGATGATATACGGGGGCAGGCGTTGATCTATGAAATACGTCTGTACCTACAGACATTTTTTTTCAGTTGACATATAACCATTCAAAATAAGAGCATTTTGGTCAAGAATCATCGGTGAAAAAAAAAAAATTCTATCGAGCAATTAGCATGATTGAATTGTCAATAGTTATTGATTAAAATTTTCATTTTGTTCTAGCAAATTCTTTTTCTCTTGCAGGTGGAGGTTCTGCCCTCTTACCTCTGCCACTACCACCAATAACTCTGGAAGAGAAACACGATCTGATAAAAACATTAGCAAAAAAAGGTAAGTGGCCATCAGTACCAGAAATTCCTTCAGAGATGTCAATCGAAAAGTATGCGAGTTATTAGAGATATTGGTGGAAGAGAATTTGCACAGATGAAAAAATTTAGAGGAATTAGAGGAATAATTAGAAGAGTGAGAAAAGTTAGACAAATTGATAAAAGAGAGAAATATCTCAGATATCCGAAGAATTGATTAATTGAAGGACTTTCAACTTAAATATAATCGAAATCACTCTTTGAACATATCTAGATATTCATTTCATGAGATTGGATCTAAAAAATTCCGAATTAGAGAAATAACAGAAATTAGAGAAATTTATTCAAGGATTTAGAGGAATAATAGGAATTCAAGAAATTAGAGGAATTCAGGAGATTAGAGAGATTAGAGAGATTAGAGAAATCAGAGAAATTGCGAAAATTGGAGGAATTAGAGAAATAAGAGGAATTATCGTATTTAGAGGAATAAGTGAGAGAAGAATTGAAAAATTAGAGAAATTAGAGAAGTTAGAACACTCACTATTTGAACATATCTAGGGTGAGATATTTGGTTGATACATCATGTGCCGTCAGCATATGCTTGGATCTAAAAAATTCCGAATTAGAGAAATAACAGAAATCAGAGAAATTTATTCAAGGATTTAGAGAAATAATAGGAATTCAAGAAATTAGAGGAATTCAGGAGATTAGAGAGATTAGACAAATTAGAGAAATTGGGAAAATTGGAGGAATAAGAGAAATACGAGGAATTAATGTATTTAGAGCAATTGGAGAAGAATTGAAGAATTAGAGAAATTACAGAAATTAGAGGAATCAGAGGAATCAGAGAAATCAAAGTACCTACCTAATTAAACAAATCAGAGAAATGAGAGGAATTAGAGACATTAAAGGAATAAGAGAAATGAGAAATTACAGAAATTACAGAAATTTGAGAAATCAGAAGAATTTGAGAATTTTGAGAAATCAGAGGTATTAGAGACATAAGAGAATTTGAGAAATTAGAGAAGTCAGAGAGATTATATAAATTAGAGAAATGAGAGGAATAAGAAGATTGAGAGAAATAGGTGTTGTCAGAGAAATTGAAGGAATTAGAGACATCAGAGAAATTAGAGGAATCAGAAAAATTGAAGAAATTAGAGAAATAGGAGAAATAAGAGAAATTGAAGAATCTAGAGGAATCAGAGAGATCAGCTAAATTTGAGATATCAGAGAAATTGCAGAAATTGAAGAAATAAGAGCAAATAGAGAAATAGGAGAAAATGGAGAGATAAGAGAAATAAGAGAAATAAGAGAAATAAGAGAAAAAATAGAAATGAGAAAAATAAGAGAAATTTGAAGAATTAGAAAAATTAGGGAAATGAAAGAAATTTAAGAAATTGAAGAAATTGAAAAAATGAAAGAAATTAAAGAAATTACACGGAGATTAGAGGAATTAGAGAAATTAGTGAAATAAGAGGAATTAGAGAAATTGAAGGAATTAGGGAAACTTGAGGAATAAGAGAAACAAGAGAAATTAAAGAAATTATAGAAATTAGTGAAATTCGAGAAATTTGAGAAATAGGAGATATTAGAGATATTTGAGAAATAAGAACAATTAGAGGAATCAGAGGAATATATGGAATTAGAGAAATTTGAGAAATTAGAGAAACCAGAGAAATCAGCGAAATTGGAGAAATGGGAGTAATAAGAGAAATAAAAGCAATTGGAGAAATTAGAGTGAATAGACAAATTAGAAAAATTAGAGAAATTAGAAGTGAGAAAGATAAATTGGATGAATCAAAGCAATAATGGGAAAAAGAGAAAAACATGGGAAATCAGAGGTGTCAGATGGATTGTTGAAATGGAAATTAAAAAATTGTATTAGGAAAACAAAAAATTTGGAGTATTTGGCGAAATTGGAAGAGTTTCTCGTCTGTTTCCTTGCACAGAAAGAATAGTGTATTATACACAGGGAAAATATAACATTTTAGCTCACTGTTTTTTTGTCAACAACACAACCTCGGGCTGAAATCTATTACGTTTTTCCCTTGTATAATGAATAACTATCATTAGACGTCCAGAAATGTTTTTTCCGTGCTTGCATGACTTCCCACACGTGGCACACGCGCTGGAAAGATCCCTATTTCCAGACTCCTAATGAAATACTATTCCATTCGCACGTTTTCAAATGTTCACAGGAGCCACCATAAACGAAGTGAACGCCGTCAGAAAACGCCTGTCCCTACTAAAAGGCGGCGGATTGGCAGAGTTGGCCCACCCCTGCCGGATCGTCTCTCTCGTGCTTTCCGACATAATCGACGACCCTTTGGATTTGATAGCCAGCGGGCCCACAATGCCCGATCCAGATTCCGCCGGACGCGCATTCGAGGTTCTAAAGAAATACCGTTTGGACGGAGAATTGCCGCATTCGATGGAAATCGCCCTTCGAAAGGAGAAAAGGGTGGTTGGAGGTCGTAGGGCGATTGTGGACGGGGAGTACGAACACGTGCGGACGTACGTTATAGGTGAGTAAGTCGAAGAAATTCGAGCAATTCGAGAAATTTGAGAAATTCGAGAAATTCGATGAATTCTAGAAATTTTAAAAATTTGATGAATTCTAGGAATTCAAGAAGGTCGCGAAATTCGAGAAACTCGAGAAATTCGAGAAATTCGAGAAATTTGAGGAATTCGAGATATTCGATGAATTCTAAAAATTCTAAAAATTCGATGATTTCTAGGAATTCGTGAAGGTAGAGAAATTCGAGAAACCCGAGAAATTCGAGAAATTCGAGAAATTCGAGAAATTCGAGAAATTCGAGAAATTCGAGAAATTCGAGAAATTCGAGAAATTCGAGAAATTCGAGAAATTCGAGAAATTCGAGAAATTCGAGAAATTTGAGGAATTCGAGATATTCGATGAATTCTAGAAATTCTAAAAATTCGATGATTTCTAGGAATTCGAGAAGGTAGAGAAATTCGAGAAACTCGAGAAATTCGAGAAATTCGAGGAATTCGAGAAATTTGAGAAATTCGAGAAATTCGAGAAAGTCGAGAAATTCGAGAAATTCGAGAAATTCGAGAAATTCGAGAAATTCGAGAAATTCGACAAATTCGAGAAATTCGAGGAATTCGAAGAATTCGAGAAATTCGAGAAATTCGAGGAATTCGAGGAATTCGAGATATTCGAGAAATTCGAGAACTTGGAGAAATTCTTGAAATTCGAGAAATTCGAGAAATCCAGAAAATTCGAGAAATTTGAGAAATTCGAGAAATTCGAGAAATTTTAGAAATTCGAGGAATTCGAGAAATTCGAGAAATTCGAGAAATTCGTTTATGGAGCGATTTTCACGAATTTTTATTTGAAATGGAAAGGTTAATAAAAAAGGTGGAGCTGAGCGACGTTCACTTTTTTGAAAACCAAGGCCTACTAGATCAGATTCAGTGGCAGAAAAATCTACAATCCATATTAGCGATTTTTTCATAAAAAAATCGCGTACACCACTGGAATCGACGTCCTGTGGAATAGATCTGTACCAAGTATCCTGAAATTCTCCTACGTGTCTCATATTAAATAGCAATTGTTTGGCAAGAAAACTAACTTCATATTATTGTTCCTCATGCTTTCAAACCCACTTATGCAAATAATCACCATTTTACAAATCAACAGGATTTGCTTAATTTCTCTCATTTTCAGCTCGGAAATAGTTTCGGATGTATGATAAATTGACATTCATCATACAGGACGTTCATAAAAGTGTACTTTTCCTATACATTTCAAATTTCATTTCAATACTGAACATATTGGTAAGTTATATTTTTATATCATATTATAATACATCATTTTATTCTATTCGATTTGAGAGATAATGGCAATTCTCAATTTCAGAGGATTTTGATTTTTCATGCTCTTTTTTTGTTTGGATATTCAACAGATATGATTCAATGTTCGACGTGGAAAATAGCCAGGAAAGTAGTTGTTTTCTGTTGAATATTCAGAATGATGAAGGAGAATGCAAATTCTCTACGTCAGAAATTTTTGTTTTCAAATTCTTATCGTGTGTGTTCAATAGATGTGATTCAATATCCGTCTTGGCATATTGCCAGGAAAGTAGTTGTTTTCTGTTGAATAAACCGAAAAAGAATTAATATTTTCATCACATGGAGAATGAGAATTCTCACTGTATTTCTTTATTTATATACCTATCCATTTTCTGTGTTCATTAATATATCTGAGAATAATTCCTTGTCAATCGGAAATAGTTATTTATACACCAAGGTATTGAAGAATATCATTATTATCCAGGGACCAGTATCATATACTGAGGCTTCAGTCGAGGGGTATAAGGCGAGGTATAAGGTCTCTTGTTAATAATATTTTTTACTACCAATAAGGTTTATAAATAATCATTTGCATTCAGGTTGATTACAACACAGGTTGCTTTGTCTTTTTATTAACTAATGGTTCATAAAATGACGAAAATTACCTTAGTGTAAATATCTAGGAGGATAAATTCGAGAACTTCATAATTAATTCGAAAAACAGTCGATGAATCTTGATCCACACTATTGAAAATTTGGGTGTCTCGAAAAAAACCACAGAAATCTGATGAATTTGAGTAATAGAAAATTTTCATAATTCACAAAATTTGTTGAAGTTCAAGAAATGCTATATAAATTTGAAAAATTCGGAATCTCCAAAATAACGATTAACTTTTCTTGCCGATTCCACGTTTCGTCAACCGCACACGTCATCTTCCACTTTCCTGGCTCTTTATGGCAACAACAACAAATTTATTCTTTCCAGGTAATAACCGGATAGCCGCATTGGCGGCCAAACGAGAAGCGATAAACAGGGGATTTCAATCGAGCGTGGCATCAACGCAAATAGAAGGCGATGTCTGCGAAATCGGCAGGATTTACGCAGCGCTGGCACGCGAGCTTGCTTCCGTAATTAGCGATCCCTCCGACAGGGACAATTTGGAAGTTTTTCTGGAAACTTTCGCCGAGCATTTCCGTGTCGATCGGACTTTTATTCGGGAAGTGCTCGATTTGGATTACTCAAGGGGGATTTGTTTGATCTTTGCAGGTGAGGTCTCTCTGCCATAGTCGTATCTGGATGATGGCCGTTAGACACTTAGAAATACGAAAATTATTTAAAACGAATCCATTTTTTTTTAATGCCCAGAAGAAAAATGTTTTTCCACAAGCGTGCGTGATTCATCCTATACTCGCACGCAGTTTAGTTTGGGAATGGTAATTTTCCCGCAGTAGTGCGTGAAAAGTTTTCCAACACTAGCCCTAACAACACAGGGATGTCCTAGGTACGACCCTTTTTTGTCCCGCGGTACAAGGACATGATTGGGATATCCAGGGGATGTCCCTCAGTGGTTGTCCAGTGGACATCCCGCCCGGTACATCCCTAGGTTATCCTATTCGTGTCCCTGGAGTATCTGATATCCATTCACATCAGTAGAGTCATTGAATTTCATCAAACTATTGAGTTGAATTTTTTTGAAAATGTTTGTTTCTCTTCCGGAAAATGATTGTAATGAAAATAAAGAATAAAGTCTCAGAACTTCTTGAGAAATTACCATTTTTCGCAGACAGAAATCGTACATGCATAATGTCCCTCATTTTTAAACACCCAAGAATGATAATAATTATACCCAATTCCTAATGAAGTTGTATTTATTCAGGTTTCTGTAGTTAAGTCCTGTTTATAAATCTGTTTAGTACATAAATTTTCAGGTAGCATGATAGCCAATGGAGCAAGGTGCGTGCATGATAAGCCAAAGGTCCCGTGTTCAATCCCTATTCGACCTGCAACTCTTTTCTTTTGTCGAAAGGATGTCCCTGGGGTATCCTTGGGACGTCCTAGGGATATCCTTTCATCGTACTTGGTACATCCCAGGGACGTACCAGAAGGACATCCCTTGGATGCCTTTTTTAGCGGCCAGCGGATGTGCCCGGTACATCCCTAGGTTATCCTATTCGTGTCCCTGGAGTATCTGATATCCATTCACATAAGTAGAGTCATTGAATTTCATCAAACTATTGAGTTGAATTTTTTTGAAAATGTTTGTTTCTCTTCCGGAAAATGATTGTAATGAAAATAAAGAATAAAGTCTCAGAACTTCTTGAGAAATTACCATTTTTCGCAGACAGAAATCGTACATGCATAATGTCCCTCATTTTTAAACACCCAAGAATGATAATAATTATACCCAATTCCTAATGAAGTTGTATTTATTCAGGTTTCTGTAGTTAAGTCCTGTTTATAAATCTGTTTAGTACATGAATTTTCAGGTAGCATGATAGCCAATGGAGCAAGGTGCGTGCATGATAAGCCAAAGGTCCCGTGTTCAATCCCTATTCGACCTGCAACTCTTTTCTTTTGTCGAAAGGATGTCCCTGGGGTATCCTTGGGACGTCCTAGGGATATCCTTTCATCGTACTTGGTACATCCCAGGGACGTACCAGAAGGACATCCCTTGGATGCCTTTTTTAGCGGCCAGCGGATGTCCCTGGGACATCCCTAGTATGTACGTTGTCCCGACAAAGGACATCCCTGGGATGTCCTAGTATAAAATCAGGGACGTCCATGGGAAGTCCCTAGGATGTACTGGTGTTGTTAGGGAGTGCGGGAAAAACTTTTGTATAATATTCTCGCAAAATATGAGTAATGGGTGACACAATATGAGTATTTCAGGTTTTTTTGTTGCAGTATTCAGTAAGTTCGTACAAAATCATCCATCAAAATGCACTATTTATTGTGAAAATGAAGGATTATCGAAAAATAATTATTGATTGTTATATATAAGTCCCCCATAACCTTAAATTGATCTGATGTGAGAAACAATTGCTGTCATGTCAATCAAAAAACAAATTAGTTAGTGTAATTCTCAGAGTGACAGACAGAGCGTTACTGTCATTTTCGATTCAGTGGAATTGCGATGGAAAACTTCCAGCTTCTGATGCGATACAGATGAGTTATTGCCAACGAAGTCTCATGAAAGTTATGAGAAGCACTACACGGAATTTATTGAATGGTGCAATAGTAAAAAAGTGAAAACACCAAATAAAGATGAAGTATTTTTGGCTCATTTCCTAGAAATGTCTGAAACCTAAAGGCCAAACACCATGGGCATGCTAGCTTCCGCAATAAGCTTACCTACATAATGCTTCAAACAGTAAACACAATAGATAGAAGATAGAGATTATATCACTATTGTTAGTTGTTCCGATTTGCAGGAATAATTGATTGAACAAATCAATCAATTTCCTACGCTTGTAGAACAAATATTGTTCCTAACTCATGCGGAAAGTGTTTTTCCCGCACTCGACTGCTTGCCCGAACTCCGCTTCGCGTCGTCAACAGCATTCGCGTGCGGGAAAGTATAACTTTCCATACTTGATAGGAAAATTACTATTCTTTTTTGTTTCATAAATATCTCAAATATTTAAAGAGAATCATAGTTGAAGAATTAACAAAAATTATTGAGAGTAGATGAATATAACAAATGAAGGCAGTCACAGAAATCAATTGAATATACGGAGGAAAGAAGATGATGTATAGGAAAGTTAGAAAAATCAGAGGTTTCGAACAAATTGTAGTAATTGAACAGATGAGAAACAATAAAGAAATACGAGTCATGAATTGAATATTACGATGAGGTATAAAATGAATGGAAGGAATGAGAGGAAAAAGAGAAATAACAAGTAGAATAAGAGGAATAAGACAAATAAGAGGAGGAAGAAAAATATGATAAAAAAATTGGGGGAATCAAAGCAGTAAGATAAGTAATAGAAGAAAGAGGGAGTAATATAGGAGAAATAGGAAAATATAATGAGAAATCGAAGGAATATTGAAAGTACGTTGAATGAGAAAAATAAGAGGAATATGAAAAATGATAATATTATAAAGAAAAAGAGAAATAAAAGGAATAAGATAATGAAAAAGAATAAGATAATGAAGAGGAATAAGATAATGAAAAGGAATAAGATAGATATGGGGAATGAGATAAATAGGATGAAGAAGAGACATAAGAGATATAGGAGGAATGAGAGGGATGGAAGGAACGAATGGAATAAGTGAAATGAGAAAAAAATGAGAAATAGGTGAAAAATAGGGAAATAAGAGAAATCATAGGAACCAGAGTGATTACGAGCAAAAAAAAATGACTAGGAAATGGAGGAATTAGAGAAATTAGAGAGGTATTGAAGAAATCAGAGAAATTAGAGAAATCAGGAAACTTGAAGAAATTTGATGAATATGAAAAAAGGAAAAACTTGAGGGATTTGAAAAATTGATGAAATAGATTTATTGGAGGAATCACATGAATGAAAGGAGGAAGATATATCAGAAAAATCTTTTTAAATCAGTGAAACTAGAAGAAAAAGTAGAAAAATCAGCGAGATGGAAACAAAATTATCAATTTGAGAAATGGAAGAATCGAGACAAAGTACGAAAATGGGTGAATTTTTTCAAATTGCAATCTTGTACAAATTTGAGCAGTAAGAGGAATCAAGGAGATCACCAGATATCAGAGAAATTAGAGGAATCAGAGTGATTGTAAGAATAGGAAGAGTTGGGAAAGCTAGAATACGGAAGCAATCACAAGTATAAGAGGAATGTATGACCACAGATAACGAATATGAATCAATCAAATTATATGAAAGAGCAATGAATGCAAAATTGAGAGAACTAGGAAAAAAAGAAACGGTGAAAATTAATAGAATTATGGAGAATCAGGGCAATTGTAAAGTCGCAAATTCTTCTCCACTCAATCTAGTATGCAGGACGCCTCTGGCCGGAGCATTCGAACTCCTTCAACTTTCCAATGGCAAATAAAATGTTATAGTCTACCGAGGCGTTCTTGAACTCCGTTTAACTTTCTGGTCATAAGGATCGATTCAAATCTGCTCCCTATGTTATCGTTCGCGAAACGTGTGTCGAAAAAGTTTCGAGTTTATGCAAATCTCGTATTTCTCATGTTTGGGCGGTAGAAAGAGGGCGCATTTGTTAGGGGCGAATTTTCGATGGGACAAGAATTGAAATATTGATTGGGTAACAAAACGATGTTCTCTGAACATTACAGGATATCCCTTTTCGTGGGAACCAGAACATACAAAAAAAAAGAAGACGAGATCAGTATACTGAAGCCTTTGAAATTTGGCCACACTCAAAATCAATCATTCGAAATATGCTTCATTGTCTGAAGGAAAAAAATTCTCATTGACAAAGTCATACATACATACATAAATGTACTATCCGCAACGCATAACACCCAGTCGCCAATTTTTTACTCAAAAGTTCCACGCGATTTCCAAAGTTGAGTTTGTCTTCCAGATAAGTACTAAGAAACTTAACTTCGTTGTTCTGTTCAATGAATACTTTATTTCCTAACTGGATGTCTGGTTGATCACAATTGATCGACAGGAGGCTAGTTATACCTATATTGAACGACAGCAAATTTGAGTCACACCACCTATTCACAGCGGAAATATGGTCGACAATTCTCGTTTGAATATTCTTCACTTCAGTATCATTCCACAGGATAATTGTGTCGTCAGAAATATTGAATTTTCCATCGATTCTGAGATAAGCCAATAAACATTAAAATACAATAAGAACAAAATAGGCCCCAAAACAGAGCCCTGTGGCGCTCCACGACAAACTGAACCAGTCTCAGACGACGTATTATCTGTTCTCACGATTTTTGTTCGCTCGCTAATGTTGGATTGAATCCAGCTGAGGCTTTGTTTTCTGATGCCATAGTGCTGCAATTTGCGCAGCAGAATTTCGTGATTCACACAATCATAAGATTTCGAAAGGTCACAGAAAACTGCTGCATAAACTTCCTTCAGATTCAAATTTTTGTAAAGCTCTCTCAGAAACGAGAAAACAGCATCGTCTGTACATTTTTTTGATGAAAGCCAAATTGCAGAGGATCGAGAATTCTGTGAACATTTATGAATTCCATAAGTCTGATTTCAACCAGTTATGTTCTCTGCTAGCTAGTTTTCTCCCAAACAGGTCTCTTTATGTAGTGGTCGACGGAGTTTCATCTGACTGTCTTGTCATAAATGCTGGTGTTCCGCAAGGATCAATTCTAGTACCAACACTATCTCTACTACATATCAACGATTTGTTGGAAGCAACTTCATGCCCAGTACACAGCTTCGCGGATGATAGTACCCTCCATACCGCCTTCTTTTCCGAGGGTCCAATGCCAGCCAGGCAAATCAGAAACAAACGAGGGAGAAATGTTGACAAACATCAATATGGACTTGGCAACAATTCTAGAATGGGGATCCAATTACTTCGTAGATTTCAATGCGAACAAAACACAAGCATGCTTTTTTCCGAGAAAAGCCGATTTCACTGTGCCCAACATAAGCTTGTCAGGAGTAACCATACCTTTGAAGACATGCATTTCAATGCTTGGTGTCACTATCAGCAATAACCTTTTTTGGAAAAATCACTTGAGATCAATAATTGCTGGAAGTGCATCCCAAAAACTTGGATTTCTGTTTCGGGCCAGGAGCTATTTCACTTCCAGTCAGGTGCTCATGATCTATAAGGCGAAGGGTGAAGGGAAAAAACTAGGAATGTCACAATAACTTTGTTTTGAGATAATCGCATTTTACCAATTGAACACCAGATTACTTCCAAACTATTAATGTTAAAATAATGACATAATTCTATGTATGAAGTAAAAGTATATTCTCATATATTTTATGAAAATTGAAACAAACAACTGTATTCGTTATGCAGAAGAAAATAATAAATTCTCACAAGAACATATTAATTTGGAAAAACACGAGGAATGTCATACACATTCTGGAGGAAATAACAAGTTATACAATGTTATCATTGATGAGATAATTCTGTGAAGTAAATCTGTGCTTCAGGTCCACAAAATCTCTTCAGAGTCATCAAATTTTTGAATTTTTCTGCTGGAACTGGCAATAAATCTAGAATTAAAATTCAGAATGCATAAAAAAGCGTTACTTGAGATTAAAATTGAATTCACCTCTGTATGCTGGCAATGGAAGTTTGAATTCACCTTCTCGCAGATCATTGCTGACCTCAACGCGTTTTTTGGGAACTGTGATAGGCTTTTGCTCCCAGTTACCATATGGTATGGAATTCTATAACTCGAATGTTCCTCAGTTGTTCCGATTTTCCTGATAGTTTGTACTGGAAATGGAAATTTTTTGACATATTGTTTACTGAAAAATGTATTCCACTATTGATGAATCACGTTGATTCCGAAGACAAAAAACTCTTGTTTACTTCTGATGCGGACGTGACTAACGATTAGATAGCAAAGACTGATTTAAATTGCGAAGAATTCGGGTTGTGTATGTGTACCTGCTGATATTGACTCTCCTAGTTCTATGAAGTTTCCGGGCGAACATTCCCTGTTTTTAACCGTTCTACGATATTTCAAGGCATGTTTACTGATAGACTATTACGAGTTTTTAGCAGACTTATGGGTAGAGAATATCGAGAACGAATCTGTCTTCGTAAAGCAATGCATATCTCAATTTCTGTAGAAATATGACATTCCTTGTTTTTTCCCTTCACCCTTCAAGGCACAGATCCGACCTGTCCTGGAATACTGTTCCCATATTTGGAGTGCAGCACCCGAACATACCCTGAAACTTTTGGATTCTGTCCAAAAAAGGGCAATTCGTCTCGTGGGTGATGCCTCGCTCACAAACTCACTCATTTCTCTTGAACATCGAAGAAAAGTTTGAACATTGAAGAAAAGTTGGCGATCAGGCTCTATTTTATAGATATTTTCATGGACGATGCTCTTCTGAAATATCAACAATTGCTCCCTCTTTGACAGTCCCAGCGAGATTGACCCGTCGAGTTGAGGTTTCGCACTCCTTCGTGGTCAATTTGAAGACCTGCAGACCATCTCTCTCCAGAGACTTGCATGGTTCTCACGAAGTTTTCTGAACATTACAGGATATCTCTTTTCGTGGGAACCAGATCATGAAAAAAAACCTTCTCTATAACTTTGCCTAAGGTCGGAACCAGAGGGATATTGATCGAACATTCGATGGATCCGAAGTATCTCCACCTTTGTGAGTTGGAATTACAAGAATCTTTTTCAGAAAAATATGAAAAATTTCTTTTCATTTAGTTATCGTTCGTTTCTAGGCGAGCCAACTGTCGTGGTAACCGGGACCGGCAAAGGCGGCAGAAATCAGCAATTAGCGCTTACTGTCGCCGTAGAACTCAGCAAGCTCAGCATCGGATCAGCCGACGTCACATTTCTGAGCTGTGGCACGGACGGCATCGACGGACCCACCGACGCTGCCGGAGCGATCGCGACTTCCGGGACGCCGGAATACTCCGGGAACGTCAGACCGGAAGCCTATTTGGAGAATAACGACGCCTACAGTTTCTATGAGGTTTATAATCGCGGGGAGAATTTGGTCAGGATCGGGCATACAGGAACGAATGTCATGGATATCCATATTTTGATGGTTGTGCCCAAGTAACTCGCTGGATTCAATTCCAGGAGACAATTATTATCATTTTTTAATATCAAGGCATTGAATCAATATTGATATCACATAATTTCTAAGACCATAAATATTTTGATGTTGATGTTGTTCTTTATCACTCCAAGAAACATATTTGTTTATAATACGGATAATAAACTGGGCGTCAATTGAAACGTTAATAGTGAAATTTGGCATCAAGTTTGACTTCTCGTAATTTCTAATATATTGAACGAATTTTGAATTGATGCCCAGATTCTGAATGCCTTTTTCATCATCTTTCGAACCGTTCCTCACAGTTTCTTCTAAATTGATCAGGATCCATGATATAGGGTGAAACAAAGTTACGTGCATTTTGAAAAAAAATTCTCCGCCCCCCCATTTTGTCGGAAGACCACGATGCTCATATTTTATCCAGGCATTTCATGAATAGCAACCATACCTCGGGACGTTTTCGAGTTTTTGGCAAAAACTACTGTGGTTTCCGAAAAAAAAAATTTTTTAGCATTATTTTTAAATGGACTAATTACCTGTATCCTCAAAACAATGAATCAGTCTCTTTATTGTCATGACTGACTTATTGAAAATGGTACTTAAATGAGTTTGGGTATATCCTAATCGTCGTAACCTGAAATAATAATTATCTGTACTGAATTATAGTTAATATCACTATAGTGATCTTACCTAATGATATTTTCCATTTCGACCCGATTTGAACGAGGCATCTTTAATTTTTTAGGACCCGAATTACACTGACGTTTTCATGAAAATTGGCAATTGATATAACCTTTATGCATACCTACATTGTTTCAACAATACGCTGTTATAGAAACAAGGTATCGTTGTTTGTATTTGTTGATGAGATGTGTTAATTTACTGCTCACTAGGGTAGAAAACTTTTATCATAGACTGAGAAGTAATAAATTATTCATTGTTTTTGAGTAACCTGGTATACATATCTGCTCCAACGATTTCGTGAAATGCATAAAAGCATCCATTTATGGAACTTCTTTAAAATTACCCATTAAGAAAAATGCAAAAAAAAATTTTTTTTTCGGAAACCACAGTAGTTTTTGGCAGAAACTCGAAAACGTCCCGAGGTATGGTTGCTATTTATGAAATGCACGAATAAAATATGAGCATCGTGGCCTTCTGACAAAATGGGGGGGCGGAGAATTTTTTTTCAAAATGCACGAAACTTTGTTTCACCCTGTATCACGGGTCCTGGTCAATTTAGAAGAAGCTGTAAGGAACGGTTCGAAAGGCGATGAAAAAGGCATTCAGAATCTGGGCGGCAAATCAAAATTCGTTCAATATTTTAGAAATTACGAGAGGTCAAACTTGATGCCAAATTTCAGTATTAACGTTTCAATTGACGCCCAGTTTATATATGAACATGAGAATTAATTGCTCTGTTAATATTGCCATGAGTATATATTAATTTGATATTGACTGTGAATCTTGTTTCATCATCAATATGATTGCTCTGTTAATATTGCCATGAGTATATATTAATTTGATATTGACTGTGAATCTTGTTTCATCATCAATATGTTTCAAAAAAATGATTCCGTTGTAGGATACTGATTGTTTGACAATAATGGAGTTGTTTGGGTTTGCTATCAATGAATTCAACTGTCTCGTTTCATGAGTATGAATTGTATTCACTCCAGTAAAGTTCAAGTTGGATATTTTTTTTTTCTCAAAATGAATGAAAGAGCAAATTTTTATTTTATATAAAGATGATAAATTCAACAGATTTTTTTTGGTTTGTAAAGATTAATAGTTGGTTCCAGGTAAATTGTGAATGCACTTAATTGTTTTATTTTGTAATTTCATTATTGGTTTCAAATGTGCGATATACTTGTGCTTCCCCAAATTGATATCAAATATTGTAATTTTGAGTGGATCAGACAGAAATATATATTCTTCGAATATCTGAGTGGAATACAATTTCTATTTTTGTATGAAATGCCAGTAATTGGATTCTTATTTTTTCTCAGGTGATCTATATGTTTAGTAGTCCACGATAATTGTTCATAAATATAAAGACCTAAGAATTTTGTAACATCTAAATATTTTATGGCTTTCTGGTCGAAAAATATTGTTGTTTTCGATATATCAGTTTTTCTTCTTGAAATATACACATAGGTAGAGTTGTCATAATTAAGAGTCAGCTTATGAATTTGTAGCCAAGATGATATCATTTTCAAGTAAATTTTTATATCATCAATAATATCATTGAATTCTTCAGAGGAATAGATTATTGTAGTATCATCTGCAGAAAACTCTAGATCTCCTTTTTGTTCCAAAGATGATATTGAAATGATGTAAATCAAGAATAAAATTGTACAGGGTGTCCCAAATTGCTTGATTTTGGCAGTTTTTCCTATTTCCAGAACAGCTAGAGAACAACTGACCAATGAGTCCAGACCTTGCTTTTTGGGTAACGTCGATTGGTGAAAACCGCATTTCGATATCTCTAACCGTTTCCGAGATATAGGCGGAAATTGACATTTCGAGAATATGTAATAACATTTTCATTTTTGGACATTTTTCCAAACTCGACAGGCACTCTTTAACGTAGAATGAGATACACCTGCCAAAAAGAATATATCGCTTATCAACTGTCTGATATCAAAGCCAACGTTGTTATCTGAAATAGAAAGCATAGTTGGCTGTGACTCCAGCAAATCGGAAATATATATCTCAAGATATGTCTAGTCATCCATCCTTACTGTTGATACAACAACAATACAACGTGGGATTTCATATCAGACAATTGATACGCGATATATATTTTTTGGCAGCTGTATCTCATTCTACGTTAGAAAGTGCCTATAGAAAGTGTTTTCCGTTTGAAAAAATATCCGAAAAATATGTTATGGCATATTTTCGAAATCGGTCATAGTCAATTTTGGCCTATATCTCGGAAACGGTGAGGGATATCGAAATGTGCTTTTCACCAATCGACGTTTCACTAGAATATAGCTCTAGGCTCCTTGGTCAGTTTTTCTCTAGCTGTTCAGGAAATAGTGGAAACTGCCAAAGTCAAGCAATTTGGGACACCCTGTACACAACGGTTCGAAAACGGTTCGGTGTGAAACATAGAATTTCTTCTCCAAATAATATAAAACCAATTTTTTGTCAATTTATTTTTTGAAAACTCCATCATTTCGTGTTCACCCAATGTCTGTCAATTTTGATTACTAATTCCATTGAAATTTATTAAAGTTTAAATAAAGATGTTTTTATGTATCGAAGACTGGAACCTTTGGCACGATAATACACTACATTGTTTTACCACTAACCAAACCTGAAGATGCTAACATAGTTAGCGAAACACGTGTCGAGGTGTTAAAAAATCGGTTTGGTTAGTGATAAAACAGTGTAGTGGAAATAAGTTTTTGTTCATTTGGGATCCTTTGGAAAATTCCGAAATTTTTCACAGTTTCAGGTAACACCCTGTAGCGATCTTATGTGAATTACCTTATGTTTTTAAGAATTAGGAGATTATAGCTGAAGGACTGGGCTAGAGAACAGTGTGATACGATTTCAAATCGCTCGAAGCAGAAAAAAGTTATTCATATTTCAACAAAGGCAAAATTTTGGGGTGCGACGAAATTAGTGCGTAGTTTAGAAGGATTTCCATAACTGCCGACTGTGTGGTGCTGTTAGTAAATTCTCTGGATAGTGGATCTGGATAAAATCGACTTTTTAGCATTAGTTGACGTTATAGTATTCGATACAATATAATATATACTTTAAATTTTGTGTAGAGAAAGAGAACATTATTTAGAATGAATGGCAGTCCTGGTTATGAAACCTATATTAGATACTCAATTCATTCTCTATCAGAATTAACGAATCAACAATCGCACGATGTTCTTTGAACATTATAGGGATTCCCTTTCGTGCGCTCCAATCGATAAAAAAAAAATCTAGTAGTAAGAAAAATAAAAACACATTTTTCTACAACTGTTGGCTCATCACCATATTTTTGATATGGCAATGGCAGTATGTATACGGATTCATCATAAATCATCATTTATAATACCTACATTTGGCATTGATGCATCATCATCATTATTCAATCAAGTTCTCTCAATTGTAACTTCCGAACATCATTGTTGAAATGTTGAAACGCATAATCTTCTTCTAGCCAAATAAATGAAAGGCGGATTTAGCGAATGCACAAGCACAATGTATAACTTTAATGTGTAATGCATAAAAGTTATAAATTGTGAACTTCAGAGTTATGTATTATGAGATGTTATGCACTGTGCACTAGAACTTTTGAGTTGGATAAATCATCTCATATGGACTACAGTGTTTAACTTTCATGAATTATACATTAAAATTACAGTTATGAAATAAATTGTGTTTGTGCGCCCGCTAAATCCGCATTAAGTATACTAATTAATAAGATCCCATGCCCTTATCGGCCTCCCCGCCTATGGAATCAATAGTTCAAATCCACATGTTGTCACTTCTGCGCACTACGTCCTGAGTGCTTCGGCGCGTGTTGTGTGTTGCCTACCAGCCATTCAGAAATTTCCGAATTTAGCCTTCATTCTGCGTTTGTCTCTCTGACGCGATGGTTGGCGATTGACCGAACTGTCAAATTTTGGCGAAAACGACGAAAAATGTCGAAAAAATGGGACTTCGTCGCGTCCAAAGACTTGATGGTGTTGTGCCTATGCGTTTTGGTGACTTTCGCGGACACACAACTGGTGATCAACGTCAGAAATCAGGTGAGAAAATGGAAAACATGTGTTCTAACCTAATTTGACGCAGAGGATTGTTTATTTTTGTTGTACGGCTTTTGTTTTGATTAACATTTAAGTTGATTAATCTCCGATAGGTATATACCTAGTTTCAACACGAACAAAACTGATACCAGCAACTGATTAAGAATATAGGTATTCATTTTATCTGAGTATTAGCAGATTACATTTACCCTCTGGAATAATTATTTTGCAGATTTTTCCTACCTACCTACCTACCTACCTACCTACCTACCTACCTACCTCATACCTCACGGGCTCGCTCTCGGGTATTCATTAAAATAAGTAGGTTCAAAATACGGATTTTTCATGATGTGACAATTCCGGTCTATTTGACAACATTGCTAAATTGCTATTTTTTCTCACTATTTTTGATATATGGTCTCGTATATG